TTGTAGCATTTTGTCAAAAGACTAGTATTATATAAGTATTATATAAAATTCAGTTACATGTATTTCTAGATACTTTGCTTATATATATGAAAATGCTATGTACGTGTTTTAACGAAAAAAATCTTCAAAGAAGTTAAAATTAGTAGGATTGAAATATATAATATGTATCTTAGACCTTATAAATTTTAGAATATTTAAATTCAAAAAGCATAAAATATACCAATCGATATTTTCGTTTTTAAACTCGAATTTAACTTTAAAGATGGTTTTTACACAATATTTTGATACTCGCAAATCACTTTTCGTATGTCAAATTTGGATTTTCCTACGTTTTCAATCAGCAAATAAAACTTTCAATGTATGTTGTTCTGGTTTCTGCCAATTTTGGATTCGATAACATCAAAATCATTTGTGAAAATAAATTTTTATTCCCTATTTTCTGTTTAATCTATGGTTTTAATGTTTTAAATAACGTCTTTTTATCGTAAAATACTCACTGTAAAAAGTTAAAACACTTTATAATTTTTTGTTTTACGAGTCTTTAAGATTTACTTGAATATAAATAATAAGTAGCATAAGAATTTTTAAGAAAAGAATATTATAATTAAACTAATTGCTTCTAGTTAAGTTAACTAATCTAATACTGATTAATTGTTATTAAATTAATTAAGGTAGGTTAATTAAATATGTCAATGAAACTAATTAATTGAATGCCATAATAAATATTGCAAAAATATTGAAATTTTTTTTATTACGAGTGAAGTTCTTCCTTTCTGATAAGTACGAAATAAGTCTTTGAATGAATCGACAGACAATAATCATACTTTGTTAATTATTATCAAAAATAAATGTAACAAAATAATCGAATTTATAATGAAATAAAACTATATTGATTCATATGATTAAAAAAATCCCTTATGCCGGGACAACGTCCGCTGGGGCAAACGAGTCATTTGCCACCACTGGATTAGGCCTTAAGTTTTCATGTAGGCTGATTTATTTCANATAAGACTTGTTTAAATAAAACATTTTGTAAAAGTGCAAGAATAATTGCTTTTATATGGTCCTGAAAAAAAAACCTGGTGAAACCAGGTTGAAAAAAGTAAAAATCAGCAAAAGCATCCAAGTAAAGGAAACTTTTGAAAGTTGTGGCATAAAAATACTGGAAGCAGATTTGACTTTATTCACATGTTGAGTCTTATGACTCAATATTCACATTGAGTTATAAGTCACATTGAGTCACAATATATGTGCACTTTATTCACATGTTGAGTCTTATGACTCAACATGTGAATAAAGTGCACACAGACTACAACTACAGTAAATTTTGAATGAAGCAATGTTGCCATGATAATAAATAGGAAAAATAAACATTGGCACAGAAAAAGATTTCAAGCTCTACTTTGTGCCTAAATGAGACTTTTCTGCACAGGGATCAATGGAATATTGCATTGGGTATTGGAAATCTGGCAAAAAAATCCATTTGCCTGAAGCCTTCAGTGTACAATTTGTCTTATAACACTCCTGTTGAGGGCTAGTTCTTGAATATCACTTCTTAGTTGATGTCCAGTATCTGTTTTTGAAATATGACCCAAAGCCTGGTTATGATGCTCTGCAGCACATTCTGAATCCTGGACACATCTGTCTGCAGCTGACCTGCTTCTAGCCTTCCAATAATTTTTTTTTTCATAAGATTATCTATATAGTGTCTTTTTGGCATTACCACTCTCAGTATCATAAAGCAAAACAGTAACAAACTGTTTTTAATGGTTAAACTGCAACAGAAACAATGCTATGCTACTGTATATTTATAAAGCCTATGTATTTTGCATAAACTTAGGCTCTTTAATGGAACATTTGACTATATTCCAGGTATTTTTGTTGTCTGCAACATTCACAAATTTCTTCTTTTTATATTATAGTTTTTGTTCTGTCTATGAATTAGACAATTATGCTTATTTGTGGACAAAATTGTAATCATAAGTTGATTTATCAAAAACATTTGTAATTTAGATTATATTCTCAGAGTAAGAATGGAACAGAACATATCTTTTAAAAAATTCTATAATCCTGTAATTGTATGAACTTTTAATTAAATATAGAATTACTAAAACATTTTATATTAAAAACATTTAGAAAAAGTTTGTTATAAATATTCTAAATATTATAGTTACATGCTTATGTAAAACATCTCATATATAATTACTATTAACAAAATATATATATCAATTATTAACAGAACCAAAACAATGGTTCTCATGAGGCATTAGTGCATTAGATACTTCGTTACCTAAATTTCTTCACATTATGACAAAGCTTTTATGAACAAACCTGATCCATAATGGTTTTAGCAGCATACATGAAAAATGGTAAAAAGCTTTGTCCTAAGTTATCTTTTAAAATCTCAAAAATCCCGAACGAATTTAAATCTAAATAAATCCTCATGATGAACAAATTCCTTATTACATAAGCATCTTAAAATACTGTCAGATACAGCAGACCAGTGGCGTGCCATGACATTTGATGACAGGGAAGGTGTGTTTCTGTAAGAAGCCGATTTCCACACGCAATCAGTTAATTGCACGTCGGGGTCCTTTTGTGTTCATTTGTTCGATATGCCAGTAAAAACCATAGACTTCTCTAAATATATATTTAATAGATTATCTGACGTACTTAATAAATAAACAAGCTCAATATAATTATTAATATAATATCAACCTCTGTTATTAGATTCAATAAATTCCCTATGCCCTCTAAATGCCAGTTTTTACTTTGATAAAAAACATATGACATCTATTAATTTAGATATAATATATCTATTAGCCGTAACTATCGTTATAAATTTCAATGGCCCACCAGTGGTCAAGCGATCTTCGTACCCTGAACACTGAGAGTTCGTTCGTGGGTCCGCACCTCGCTCGGACCGGCTGGCCACGTGGAATTTTCCGGGTTTTTTCCACGTCTGTAACGCCTAAATAGGGGCCAGTTTTCCTTAAAAGACCTCCTGGAAGGCATCTCCCCCTAGGCAGATCACCCAAGTGTTGCGTTGCCATAACTTAACAAACAACAACATAAATTTCAATATTTATTTTATATTATTTACTAATGTTAAATTATATTTTGCTTTGATTTCCAAATTGCTTCAATTTTACGAAAGAATGGATGTGACATTTACGATTTTCGTGTCTTTTGCCAGCGTTACTCAAATTATTTAAATCGTCAAAGTCATTCTTATTCCACACACTAATTTCATTCGAATATAGTAGGCAAGGCCAATAAAACAATTTTTGCATTTTTATGCATCCACAAAGCCATTTTGTGTCTTCATAAATTTTATCGTGAAAATGTCGAACAAAGTTTTTTGTTTAAGTATTTATATTTAACCCCTTTTTGCCTACTTTTTATTTTAAAATCTGTAATTAAACATAAAAAATACTTAAAACTGAAAGAAACGAAAGAAATGCGTTAATTTTGAAGAAAAAGCTTCAAAGTTTAACTTCCTTGTCTCGCCTTTGCGAAATTTGACACGAGTCATTGTGTTTACAGCTGGATGACCTTGAGAACATCTGGTGTTGGATTTCCGGGGGAATTCTCATACACGTCTCGGGAGGACAAGGGTGAATACAAGCTGGCGGTATATTTTTTAAAAAAAATTTTATTGCGATTTCCGACCCCCCCGATTTAATTAAACTTATAAAATATATAAATGAAAAAAGAGTCGTTTTTGACATCAGAAACTAGCTTTAAATAACTTTACCGAAGTAAAATCCGTGCACTATAACTATAGAACGATTAATTAAATTTGATTTAAAAAATCCCATTAAAAAACAATTAAGCGTTAATCGTGCGTCATTAAAGGTAAATTAAAATCGCAATAAAATTTTTTCGCGTGGGAAAAATTTTTGAAAAAATTTGGAGACAAAAAACATTCCAAAAATTGAAAAAAAAAATTTCCAGGAGGGTCCACAAGACCGGTTTTTCGTAACGCTATGGAACCTGCTCGAGTCAGACTCGAGCGTTAATCTAAAATAACGAAAATAACAAGTTTTTGTGATCTTGAAATAATTGGATGCGAAATCAAACAAAAGCGTTTATTAGAGAACGAAAAGTATTTACAGAGACAATTTGTATTTTTTTAATACTATTATTCTGGTCGCATTTAATCATTCATCAAACTAACTTTGTATAAAGATGATTAATTTAGAAGTTTTCAACTTGATGCCAGGCTAACTGTGGAGAGAACATCTTCCCGAAGCATTCTTAAATTGATTAAAATTCCTTTCTTTTGCAGCTGCGCTATGCACACGTTTAATTCAATGTAATTCGAATGAATCCATGTTGTTTGCTTGTAGAAAATTTTTAAAGTCCATTCCATCGAACTCTCCAAATGCTTCTTAATCATAGAAGTTCAGGATCAGGATTCGTAATCTGGAAACGACAAACAATGCTTAACTACATTTATTTAAATTTTTTAAATTTCCTAACAATAATTCCACTTACCATTTCATAATGTGTATCCTTTAACATTTCAGAAATCTTTCGTCTTCTTTGTCTTTTCGTGTTCTTCGCCTTCATCAGGTAGTCAACGAATTTAGATAACAAAATAAACAATGGACACAATTATGGAAAGCCGAAATTCGGGTGGACACAATTAGAAATTAAAATTAGAAGATCACAATCAAAATAAAGTCAAAGTTCGAGAGGACGCAATTGGAAGTCAAAATTGGTGAAGCCACAATCGAGTTAAAATCAATATTCGAGACGTCACAATCGGGATATGGTTAAAACTAAAGTCAAAATAGGGATATCGTCAAAAGTAAGGAGGTCACAATTGAGTTAAAATGCCATAATCGAAATAAAGTCAAAATCGAGATAAAGACAAATTTGAAAAAGTCACAATCGGAAAGTCTAAAATAATTAGAAGTGCTCAAGCCATTTTTCTAAACGAGATGTAATTTCATTAATGAAAAAATATTTTTTCAAATTTAAAAATTTCTTTTTTGTATTATTTTAATTCTTTTAACTTTTATTAAAGTTTTTTTTATTTTTGACCTCAAATCTTTTTTGTTATTTTTACAGTTTAAATTCTTTTTGGATGTTTTGAAATGCAGAAAGTTAAGAAAACAGTATATGTACAATGCATAGAGATGAAAATCTCTAAATTTCTTCTAAAATCTGTGAAAATAAAATGAAAATAATCAATATTTTTATCTGAAATATTCAATTATTTAAATAATTATTAAATCAGTAAGTTTATTTCCTTCTGAAAACAATTATATACGAATCAAACGAAAATTATTCAGTGCATAATTGTTAATTCGCTACTATTGTGTCATTTATTATGATTCAAATATATTATTATTAATTTGATTACTTTATAATTATCATGCACTCATATTAACATAAACTTGCTGAATATTTTAATCTCTACTCCAATTTACTGCTGTTGCTTTCCTATGTTACGAGACTACTACACTCCCAGAATATATTTTTGTCGATACTTGGACAAGAATTTACATACACTGTATATATAATTCTAATGCCCTAAAAGCCTAGCCTAGTCTATCTATATGTAAAATCTCAATCTTACAAAGAACATGATGTGTCTCCACGTTAAACGTTTCCTGTTCTATTATCTGGCCATTGTGTGTTGGTGGTACATCGGGGATAGAAATGGCGTTTAATTTATAAGTTGAGAGTAGAAAATCTAAGTGTTGAGTGTAAAATACAAAAATATTCCGATTAAACACTTACCCGAGACGAACTCGGACGAAATCAAGCAGATAAATCCTATACTTGATTCAATGATGGAGAAAAAGAGATCCTTATTCAAACTGAACGTATTCAGTTTCTCCAGTCTTCATGTTTTTCCACACTTTTTGCGCTGATCTGGAATGTGAGAAACAAGTTTAATTATGTAATGAAAACCTATATCTGAATTTGAATTTTATCAAAACATATTGAGAGTGCAATATCGAGGTTCGGCTGTATTTATATTGATTGATTGCAAATATTACATTATATCAAATTGAGAATCAAAAAATGTTATATTTATTCATTCTGAATAATATTCTTTCAGTGATATTTTAAATTCAATTTTACTGTTCTAAAAACTTTATAATTATCGGGCTGCAATTTGAAAAAATTGTACTATAAATTTCCATTATTAAAAATTGCAGCTCAGCATTGTGACGATGTCAAATAAATAATTGCTCGTTATTATTATTTTCATTTGTAGCTTATCTTTCATTGGATTAGAAATAAAACTAGTTTGGCAAATCTCGATGTAGTGCCAAAAATATAGGAAAGTTATGCCATTCTCATAAAATTACGAAGTTTTCAAGCTCAAATCTCTGCATACGTCTTAATACTGTGTATAATTGTTGCTGTTTGAGGTACTTCGGTTTAGCATTACACTGGATTCAGTGAGAATTGTAAAGGCGAACGAATGACCGAGCTAAACCGAACTTTGTTTGTACTCACATATACAGAAACTTACCTCTTGACTGGTTTCCATGCTGCCTTGAAGAAAGATCCGGCTTTTTTCAATGCCTTTTTATCTCTAATAGCACATCCAATAGTATATCCAATAGCATATCCAATATTATATCCAAAACTATTTTCCGTGCTATCCTCTTGCTTTCTGAAGTCTTTATCCATTTTAATCTTTGTTGGGGGAACCATAATGCTATTATTCAATCCATGGTCCTCCTTATCTTCAACCAATCGCTCACTAAAAGTGGAAAGAAAGAATTTACAATGCAATAGCTATTTGTAAAAGTAATAGAGAAATTATAATACATTACAGTACTTGGAAAACATTTTATTTAACCTTTCCCAAAATTTTCCATGAAATAAGCAAATTATTAGCTCTATACTAATATACTAATTACATGGGATATACTAATATACTATACTAATAATGCATTTTTTCATACTTTCTGTTATCCGACCAACCCCAGTCCCCAATTGAGTCGGATAATCGATGCTCTACTGTATATATATATGTGTGGACTTGTGATAATGAGGGAAGAGAAACACACAATTTTTTCCAATTAAAATATTTTTACTGTAACGTAATCATATATGCCACTACAATCGAGCATTTCGGCCCAATGTTCCTCCTCAGTAGACGTTTATATTTTAACATAGCTATATGTTTCTTTCAAAATTTTCGGAATAGATCATTAAAATGCTATTTTTTAAATTCTCCCAGCTAAACTCTTTCGAAATATTTTCCTGTTTATTACAACAGAACGTCATTCTATTAAACATGACTTATTCATTAAACGAATTACCAACGCTGATCCCAGGGAGTAATTATCCAGCTCACACCACCTCACTCTACAGCTGTATGGATATATTAAATGTAAACATAAAAAGGTAACGTCTACTGAGGAGGAACATTGGGCCGAAATGCTCGATTGTAGTGGCATATAAAATTACGTTACAGTAAATATATTTTAATTGGAAATTGTGTGTTTCTCTTCCCTCATTATAACAAATCCTAGAACTGAAGACCGTCCAAAGTAGAGAAAAGTATAAGTAATTAATAAGAACAAGAAGCACGTATCAACATAATATAACTGTATTAAATATAAACAGAAATATAATTTACCTGTTAAAACAATCACATGAAGTCTGGTAAAATGGCTGAATCTTCTCCAAAGCCTGTTTATAAGCAGGATTAATATGATTTTCCAAGATGGATTTTCCAAATCCACTCTGTGCGGGTTCATCCTGCTCCAAGAGGCCTTTTTTCTTGCCGCAAAATCTAAAATGATCCAAATTGTTTGGATTCACGAATCCCGCACATCCATCAAATCTCGCCCTGAATATGGAAAGAGAAAATTCATATAACACAATAAATGTTAAATACCGAAACCTTTCTTCTAATTTTAAAATCGAATACTGTATACAAAAATTTGCCATTGAATACTTTTATAAACGTTTAGAGAAATTATTATACTCTAAAGAAACTTTTCTTTTAATGTCTAACAAAATTTCTTACTAAACTGTAAGCTAAACAAAACATTGTTTTAAGACCTCGTAAAATTATAGACTATTAATTTGGGTGAAGGGAAGGGGATTTTATAAATTAAGCTTAAATCTTCAACAAGAATAAATCAACTCTTGTTATCTTATCAATATTATAAAACAAGATATATTAAAATTTAGCAATTTATAAATCATATCTATTAACTACTAATTTATTAATTTATGACAATAGATAAGTAAATTCATCTATTATATGTAGTGAATCGAAGAGCTACGGATAATTCATACACTTGTAAAGGGAAAGCTAAAAAAAGGATATAGGGCTAATTACAAAATTACAAATAAGTCTATTAAATTAGGTTCATAGAGTTAAAAACGTATTCTGTTTACTCTTCTAAGCAACAGTAAATATAAAAGCCCCACGAGACCTTAAACTTTAAGCTGTTGAACTCACATGCAAATCCAACCCTTTCTTGCTAACACCAAAGTAATTATAAATACAGCAAGACACAAAAATGTTTGCTTAAAAACTACATTCAGAAAGATCGAAGAGTCGAAATCTTTAAATTAAATTAAATATCATTTACACCGAGCAATTTCTTTTTAAAGCCATTAATTTTTCGAATGAATTTCTTATTTGCATAAATAACAATAAAATGTGAAAAATATCTTACCCCAAGGGTGAAGGCAAGGGTCGATAATCGCCAGAATCAAAAAACATTTTTCAATCACTCGATAAGCGCACTCTTCGCAATAAAAGAGCAAAACAATGAAAGATCAATTGTTGAGTTTCTTTGTTACGCGTTAATTGAAGAAGATAGAAATTTTAATGATTAATTTTTGGTTTTATTTTATTTTTATTATTTTTTTAAATTTTTGAATCTGTCCCTGTGTAATAATGATTAAATTGATAACATTTTAGATATTTTTATATATTTCGATTTTTTAACCAAATGTTCGAACCGTTTTAAATTCGAATTTGTTATTGCATATTGGTTCGATTATAGAACGATTGTAAACGTTCCAGAAAATTGATCAAATTGAAAACAGTTCGTTTGATTCTCAGCAATTCTCAGCGGTAGGTGTTATACTGATATAAGAGCAGTGACGTGCCGTGACATTTGATGATAGGAAGCTGTGTTTCTGTAAGAAGCTGACATTCAGGGGCAATCAGTTAATTGCGCGTCAGTAATGGTCTAGGGTCCTTTCGTATCGTTTATTCGATAAGCCAGTAAAAACCGCAGACTTCTCTAAATGTATTTTTAATATCACAATTACATTCCGAATAGCTAGCCACGATATAAAGGCTACAATTAAAAACAAAATAATAAAAACTTACTCGGTGAAATAAAATGTGTGGTGGATGTACAGTACAGTACATACCTAGTACAAAATATTCTTCAATTGTACGAATATACTTTTAAAGAAAATTATAATTAAATATAGCTTTGTAAAGAAACGTACAGTACATAAAAATAACAAAATATTCTTTACTTTTTAAATCTTAAAACAATCCACTTAGTCAAATAGCTCCCTACGAGTGGCTAATGGATGGAATCAGAGACGGTTGCAGTGCATGCATACACGCGGACTGCCAAATCCCCAGGGTGCCGATACCGGTCAATGCCAAATACCTCTTTTGTCGCATCACTAATATATCTCAAAGAACGCGACAGGGTTGTTGGAAATTTTAAACGTTTCTCACCATAGCTGTAAAAATCTAAATATGTTAAACTTGAAAGTCATTTGTTTTCTAACTAATTCGTTTTAGGACCAGGTGTCCACGGAAATTTCCAAAATTTACAACTTTTTGGTCACTCTCGTCGAACTGGACAAATTTCTGTCTTTATTTCATCTAATATTACAAAGAAATCAGTCCCCACTGTACGCGGCTAGAGATTGGTTTGGTTAAGCTTTTGTTTAGGTAAAATTCCGGCTCTCAGCAGGATTTTATTTATGTCTCCAATTCCCTAATCTCTTAATTATTTAAGTGCTTCGTAAGTAGAAATAAGTCGAAACCGGTTACTTTGTACTCGAATATTTGTAGTCGTGGAAAAAAAGTGGAAAGACAAATTTTTATGACAAACGTATACATAAATCGTAAATTTAAGAAATATAAATTCTAGGGCTTCTTCTGTACCTCGTGCATCTTTCACATTTATTAAACTTAGTTGTAAACGACGCTGTCAAAGTAACAGTTAATTTTTTATCATTATACAAGAATTGTACACGTTTTTTTCTGTATCCCCTTAAAGATAGGACATACGAAATCGGTAATATCACTGGTTTAACATTGAAATCCGTGAGTAATATAAAATCAGAGAGCGGAATAAAAATATCAAATATTTTAATGAATTTTTTTAAAACTCCTGTCAACTATACAGAACTATCATAAAAACATACCAGTAAATTCCTATCGGTTGGGTTAAATTATAAATCTATTCGCGATTCACATAATACTAGGCGAGGGCGGCCAAATATCTAGCAGTCAGGCGGCTAACAGCCCAGAACCGGTCCTGGATAGAATTGAATGCGGTATACGTGTAGCATCCACCCGAAGTCCTAGGCTTCCACCGGCTAAACCGGATGAGATTGGTGCTCTATAAAGCTCATGCGCGAATCTGGCTTTTTGGATGCTGATGATACAGCGCTTCCACTCTGTCACTAATATTCGAATATACAATAGCAATCTTATTTTTTTTCACGTGTAGTATAGAAATTTGTAATAAGATACATAATGCGGTTATAATAAAATATTGTGCGATTATTTTCATATAATTAAAATTAATATGTATTTATTTTTTAGAAAATACAAGGGAAGCGGCGCATCCACCGCTTCCAATGATGGCACGCCACTGTGATATACCAAATGTTAAAGAGACCTCTGATGTCCCAGTCTAGCAATTAAATCCTAGTTAAACGGCTTATTTCGAGGCTATAATAAGAATGATATAATTAACGAATTTGACCTAAAGATACACAGTTGGGTCGCCATCATGTATTAAAATTTGGAAGGAAAGATCGATCCGGAAGGGAACTCGAATTCACAACTTTAATTAACATGCAAATCCTTGTTCATTCTCTACGTAGACCTTCATTCGGTATACTCTTCCAGACATTGTTCAGTATATACAGTAAGTATATAATGTAGATTTTGTAATTATTACAAATTAACTATCTCCATGCCCATGTTCGCTGTCCATAGATCTTCCTTGTCAATCTATATTGAAGAGAATTTTGTCGCCTTTTTATTATCGTTTCATAATATTAGATATTATTAACTTATACAGTACATTGTTGAAAATCGAAAACATTTTTTCAGAGTCCGAACAATTGCTCAACCTAGACGTTCTCTAGGTTTTACAGCAGAATCTTGTCCAAAAACTATAGGGGGAAGATGGGAATGAGAGGGACAAGGGATGAAAGGAACAGTCTCTATAACTTGATGCTAAATTACTTATGGAGCTTCGCTATTTTACGGATAGATGACACTAATAGTCCATAGTTTTCACACGTTTGTAGGGTCCAATACATAGCACCAGTGTTTGGAATGCCCGGATGAGCAGAAAACGGATGCAAAAATAAGTTTTTTCATTTCTTACATTTAGGGGTAAAATCCCAAACATAGTCATTGGATAATGTACTTAAATCGGCATAATTACTTGAAACCTCTAGAATATGTTTATTTACTCGGTTTTAAATTATATTTCACTGTCAGAAAGTTATGTTGTAGTTTTGGTTGTTTGAGACCTAGGAGTTGAAAGGGACAGTAAAATAAGGAATGAATAGGACATGTCCCTTTCAACCCCATATTGACATTTTTTGGCATGTTCTAATGTAAATTTTTTAATAGAAAAAAAATGCCTCGAATGTATAAGAAAAAGAAACAGAAAGAACGTGTGACGCCAGAGGTGATTCAAGGGGCAATAATTGAAGTTGTCGAAAAAGAAGCATCAATCAGGAGCAATCAAACATTACATTTCCCATCGATTTCACCTCATATCAGCCGGGATAAATCGCATTTGGCTAAACTCATTTCAAAATATAAAAAAGACAATGTAGTGTATTCACTGCATGTGGTTAACAGGAAAGTTTTTACTACAGAGAAGGAGACAGAATTAACATCGTATTTAATGCAAGCATCATCAATGAGGACAAAATCTAAAAAGCAGCTGTTGCAATATATTCCAGAAGAAACTGAAAGTGAAGGTGAAGGATCTTAAAGCAGCTCTTCCTCAACGTCTGATGCAACATCGAATGAGGAATCTGATATCGAAAACACTCAAACATGTTCAGCCCAATGATTTCGTTTTAGTCAGATTTGCAAAAAAAAAACTTCTGTTGTTTACTTCGTGGGAAAAGTTTTGAAGAAACTGAGTGATGAAGACTTGAAAGTCAAGTTTATGAAAAAAATATTGGAATGTTTCAAGTTTATATTTCCTGAGGAGGATGATATCAGTGATGTCACCGTGGAAAATATAATTTTAAAACTACCCCATCATCCCAAGCAGGAGGAACGTCAAGAGCAATCAAACATTACATTTCCCATCGATTTCACCTCATATCAGCCGGGATAAATTGCGAAAAACATTCTATTGACCAAGAAAGACGGTTTAATTATGTGATAGCCTACTGATTGTTATATTCTTTAGTTATTGTTCTTTGTTTGAAAAAATTTGATATTCTTTGTTTTAAAAATATTGAAAATCTTTAACTGTTCAAAATAATTGTGATGTCACAAAATTCATATTATTAAAACTGTAATTTTTAAAAATTTTATTCTCTAGCCTATCACTTTTCAGTTACAACGAAATTTGAAAATATTGAGATAACGAATTCCAAGTTTTACATTAAAACTCGGGTAGTCCCTTTCATCCCCGTGGGTGTCCCTTTCAATTCAGATGTGGGAATGAAAGGGGTGTACACCTGGAGAGGTCTTTTAAAATATGAACATGTTCAACTACCAATATAATAGGATGAATTCACAATATGGTCAGAATAAAGTAAAGGTCTAATGAATCTTTTGCATTAAAAATAAAACTGATTAGAAGTAAACCTTTTCAGTGAAAAATAAAAATATGAATTTTGTCCCTTTCATCTTCACCCTCCCCTATTTCCAGACATTTCCCCCTCTAATAGTTAAAATTTCGTTCATGGAAACAAAAACTTTTTAGCTTCAGGTATACAAGTAACCCCCGTATAACACGGCACTTCTATAGCACGGATTCAAGCCTGGAGTCCACATTACCTGAAAACAGAAACTCAGAAACAGAACTGAAACATATAGAGTTTTCGTTTCAGTTATGTTTTCGTTTTAACTCGACACCACTAGAAATGCGCCATCTGTTGATCACTTCTATAATTGTCGTAGAGTCAAACATGGACGACGCTACGGATTTTGCCACGATTTCGCTGCAAAAAATGTAAATAATCTTTGAATTATTTACATTTTTTTTTTGTCGTATAGACATCTGTATTTTCTAACTTGTTCGATGAAGAATTCCAAATCTATTTATTTCCTCGTCGTTTTCGCTACACTTTCTGCCATTACGACAATCAAACTACACGTGACTAATGCACGTGACTACGCGTCACAAATCCTTGCGTTTTTATTGGTTGCAGTACGACAGATGCGCGGGACGAAAACGGAAAAGTTAAATAATTTTTAACTCTGCTTTCGGTCTTGTTTCTGTCCAACAGAACGTTCTAAAACCGGAAGTTTCGTCAGTTTGGCTTTCAGTTTTACGATTACGTCGCGGATTCCGGTAATGTGGAGTCCAGGCTTCACTCTAACACGGTTCGAGAATTGGTACCATCCCCGTATAACACGGTACTTTTATAGCACGGATTCACTCTGACACGGAATTGGACACGGAATTCGAGAATTGGTACCATCCCCGTATAACACGGTACTTTTATAGCACGGATTCACTCTGACACAGTTCGAGAAATGGGTAAACCCTAGTACAACATGAAATGTAATAAATTTTTACATACATAAGTACTAATAGTTCACAAAAATTATTATTTTCGTGAACTATTAGTACTTCAGTATTTAAATTTTCTTTTCTCGCCTCCATACACATGGACCTTCGCGAAAATTGTTTCAATTTTGCCAGATCTCGACGCTTCTGCTTCTGGGGTTGCCAGATGTTTTTCCCTTATTCCATAAGTGCTTAGCACCATATAAGGAAATTTATAAAGATCTTTTAACTAGAAGCAAGCAATCTAAAATTACATACTTTTTGCAAAAGGTAAAGCATGAATCTGAAAATAATGCAGAAAAATGCTCAGAGGATAACGATAACTTACCAAAAATAAAACGCTCTCGGTTAATAGTGCTTTTAGTGATGACAAAGAAAACATTGTTTAATTTATATTAAACAATGTTGTAAGAAAATTTTAATAAAGATATTTATCTTAATTATGAAAATATAGTAGCATGTTTTTTAATTTTTGGAACCTAACTTTCCTTTTCGTATTAGTTCTTTGTTTCGCATAACACGTATTCGCATAACACGGCAATTTTTTGGAACGTAACTACCGTGTTATACAGGAGTTACCTGTACTTTTTTCGGAGCATTGGACAATAGATAACATTTCATACTATCTCGGGTAAACAGATGGTCACTAATTCTGGAAACTTAAAATGGGAAACTGAGATGGCGACTTGCTTGGAAAATTGAGATTTTCATAAATTTTGTATCGAAAATCAACGTGTGGAATATTCCAATAAAGTCTTAATAAAATTTTACTTTTAAATCGTCTGGAAATAATTTACTCTATTTAAATTTTTACCTAAAGAAATAAAACAATTTGGGCAACAGTAATTGCAGTTATTTCTCCAAATTTTTGTTGAAGTTATGATATTGTAATATAACAAGGCCAGGTGAAGACGATCTTTCATCAAACCACGGATTATTTTTATTATTATTTTTGTTATTGACGTGCAATGTTATTTTTATATTTCTAACTCCTTGTTTCAACAAGTAGCGGGCAAAATAAATCTAAAATAAATATCTCTTTTCAGATAAGTCTTCACCAGTAAAATAATTTAAATAATTTTGCTAATTTAGAATCAGTCTAAAATATGCAAATTTTAAATACGAGTGATTGGACTTCAATTGAAAAATATTGTAAACCTATAAACTTCCACTGTCGTCCGTCTATCCGTCTGTCTTTCCTTAATCTCGAGAAAGGAATTAGATAGAGGAAATCCGACATCAGATTTGGAAACCATAGGGTCAGGAGGCCGATTAACTATACATGAACTACCAATGCAAACTGGAAGTCATGTTATTTCAATTCAAAAAGTTTTCCTTGAAAACAATTAATAGATGATCGGCATTACTCTATTGCTTTGAAGGAAATGTATAATGTACAAGGGCAAACCACTACTAATTTGAGGTGTATAGCATATATTTTAAATTAAAAAAATTAAAAACAGGATTAAAAATTGAAGCCCGGCTTTGTGACGATGTTACAATAAATAATCGCTCGTCACTTTTATATTAGATTTTAAAATATTGGCAATAATTTTTATTTCTGAAATTTAAATACGAATTAACGGTGTATTAATTGATTTATTTTGAATGAAAATATTATTTTTTGAAACTACATATACACCATTTTTATGTTGATGAATAATACCAGATTTACTTCCAATGATACCAGATTTACGTGTCCCAATAAAATGAGCAAAAACATTAAAAAAATAACATTATTATTATTTTAATTTTTGTATTAAAGATAATTTTTAATGCCAAAATTAAAGTACTTTTAAAAATTGTTTTATAGAGACAGCTGAATTATATGATTTCGTTTACATTTAATTATCTTGCACCAGGTGGCATTATGTAAGAATGCCTGTTTTTAAGATGTCTGCTCCCTTACGAGCTTCGATTAGGGTTTTAAATAAAGCTGGTAAAAAGCTTCCTCAGAGATCAGCTGTTGTTTTGGTAATTATAATTGTCTATATTTGTTTTAATACATCTCAAATAATACAATTTTAATTCCGGAATCGATTGACACTAATAGAGTGTTGTTATAGGACTGAAACATCAACAAAACATTCATCTATTTGCAGCATATTTCCGAGATAAGGATTTTCAGTTTTCATAGGGTGTAGCATTCCAATAATTTAACTAATTGCTGGAATTTCCCACTAAATCAGTCATTACTGATATAATAAGCAACATTCTATATGTGCTGTATATATAACGAGATTCTTTTACAGATGCATTAATTAAATTCAAATAGATCTGACAATAATTTGTACAGAGGATTATTGCCACATTTGTTTCTTTTGTAGAGATGTAAAGATTGTTACTTGTACATTATTCCTATAGAAACAGTAAAACAAATAGTCCAGAGGGTATCTTTTTATAAGATGTCTGCATTCTACTTAAATAGACAGATGTACAGGTAACCCCCGTATAACACGGTAGTTACGTTACAAAAAATTGCCGTGTTATGCGAATCCGTGTTATACGAAACAAAGAACTAATACGAAAAGGAGGGTTAGGTTCCAAAAATTAAAAAACATGCTAGTATATTTTCATAATTACGATAAATATCTTCATTAAAATTTTTTTAAGTGATACATATTAATATAAATTAAACAATGTTTTCTTCGTCATCACTAAAAACACTATTAACTAACCGAGAGCGTTTCTTTTTGGCAAGTTATCCTTATCCTCTGAGCATTTCTCTGCATTATCTTCAGATCCATGCTTTACCTTTTGCAAAATGTATGTAATTTAGATTGCTTGCTTCTAGTTAAAAGGTCTTTATAAATTTCCTTATATGGTGCTAAGCATTTATGAAGAATAAAGCAAGTATGGAATAAGGGAAAAACATTCGGCAACATAAGAAGCAGAAGCGTTGCGATCTGGCAACATTGAAACATGTTTCGTGAAGGACCAAGTGTATCGACAGAAGGCGAGAAGAGAAAATTTACATACTTAAGTACTAATAGTTCACGAAAATAATAATTTTCGTGAACTATTATTACTTAAGTATGTAAAAATTTATTACATTTCCTGTTATACGAGGGTTTTACCCAATTCTCGAACCGTGTCAGAGTAAATCCGTGCTATAAAAGTACCGTGTTATACGGGGGATGGTACTAATTCTCGAACCGTGTTAGAGTGAATCCGTGCTATAGAAGTGCCGTGTTATACGGGGGTTACCTGTACTAAAAAAAAGATTGCTAGAAAGTGACTTTTTTATTTTTGTGTCAGCATGAAAATCTCAGTCAGCTGAGTAATACTAATTTGCATATATTTTGCAAAGCCAGTAATCGGCCCCCAAGAAATTTCTGCTAACTCATCATCTGTGATCATATTTTGCACTAAGATGACTCTCCAAAGTATGTGTATTAACTCTAAGAAAGGAAGCTCTAAATTTTAGTTCACAATAATCAAAAACGTATTTTATTGAGAGGGCCCATTCTTAAGTGATGTACAACACAAACCATGCTGGTAGTCATCCATTGGTTGTGCTGTATTTTGGATAGGGAGAAATCTGACTACAAGAGGGCATAACTGTCAAGCTTGTAGATGTTGACTACTAGGCTTTTCCAGAATAAATGAGAAAAAGTCATTTCCTAATTTAGCCTGAATCACTATGTTATGATATTTAATTGAAAGGCTGATTACTAGTAGTGACTGACATAAGGCAAATTTTCCATACTTTACTTACAGAAGAAAAATTCCAAAATATTATTCAGTTTTATTTTCTAATTAATATTATGTTTCTGAAGAATGCTTATCTATATTTTAAAATATTTATAGAACTAAACTTGAAATGAAATTTAAAAATTATCAAAGAATTACTTTTAATACAGTAATAATTTTTTTAATATACAGTATATAAATTTAAAAGTTTTAATTTGTTGTACTTTTTTCACTTTAAATATCATATTTTGTCATAAAGCAATTAAACTTCAGTGCAGTGATTTTCAATTTTTTTCATGGTACACTTTTAATAATTTAAAAATTTGGCAGCACACTAACAATAAGATAAATTTAAAAGAATTTTACTGGGTTAATTGAGGGATGTACCTATAATATATTTTGTAAAAATAGCATAAGATAATAATTTTCAATGAAATATAAAATAAAATTGCATTACAAAATAAACAAAATGTTTTATTTCTCTAAATTTTTAAAATCACGGCCACATCTGTCACACTATACAATGTGTCTGCCATCTTGCAATTTAATAGAACTGCTGTAACTGCTTTGTCACCATGGTTACTTTGATAAGTACTTCAGGACAACTGGTGACGTCATAAAAGTGATTTTTAAATGTGATTGATTATTTAGGTCACATTTTGTAAATGCCTTGGTAACTACCGGCAGTTACCAGTAACACTGGTTACAATTTCCAAATGTGTCCTAGGAAGGTAGAACTGATTGAACTACTTGTCTGATATCACTTAGCCTATGTATGGTATTCACAGTGGCTTCACACTTCAAAAATCTTGGCATAGTGGTTGAGAATCACTGCTTTAGTGTAATGCTAAATATCTTGAGTCATTATTGTTGTTTACTAATATGAATTATATTTAAATATATTTATAGACTCAGTCAGCTGTGGATAAAGTAAAACATCTTTTGCAGTCTAATCCAAATGCAGTAAGTTCTAATGATTTAAAAACTTTTGATATAAAATCTAAATTGTTATGAACTTGAATATTTAAACAAGTAAAATTATTTAATATCAATATGTAACTGGTTCAAACACTGTTATTCTCTATGAATTATCACATCCACAAATTCCAAAAATACTAGTCTATCAACAACTTCATAATTATAAATTATAAAGTTGTTTAACAAATTATAAAATTATTTAAGTATTAGAAATTACATTCTTAATATATAAATTATTTTTAATATAATGTAAGTAATAAAATAAATTCTGTTTTATTTGTTGCTTTATGTAATAAAATGCTTTGCATGTTTTATATTCTTAAAAAAAACAACTCAATGAAACATAAATACAATTTATTATATAAATGTCTACTAAATATCTTGTAAACCTGCTGAAGAGGGACCTGAAGGTCTGAAACACAAAGTGTGTACAGATGAAATACCAGGTGAAAAATAAAGAATTTATTTTTTTCTGAATAAGTTTTCCTCAATTGCAGAAACAGAACACCTGTACAATAGTCCTATTAATATGATCTGTCCTAGTAGACATTTTATATAATAAATTGTATAAGGACCTAAAGGCATATGAATTAAAACAATAAATAGTTTAAAAATAGCAAATTTTTAAAAGCAATTTAAACTTTTATTTAGTATAATCATCGCTAAACCCGATGTAATATAGCTAATCACCAAACATATGCCGTAAATTCATATTTTACGGCATATGTTTGGTGACTTTTATTTAGTTTAAGATATTTTCATTACTTTTACAAGAATTAGACTTAAAATTTTGTTTTATTATTTTTAAGTAAATTTATTTTATTCATTCAATTTTTTTAAAGCATTGTAATATTAAACTTGCAGTTTAAATTTTTATACTATATTTTGTAAAATTAAAAAATATTATCTTTCAATTATTTTAAAATTAAAACTATTTTTACATGAAATCTGAGTAAAATAGCACATTATAATTTTGTGGATAAACTGCAGATTATTATGTTTGAAAGGCTATTTCAAAGAGGTATTGTGCAATGCAGTGAATTATACATTGATATGCATTATATACAGTGATTTTAAACTGCAATTATAAACTTATCAAACAACTTTTCTTTTGTGTAAAGTCATTAAGAGCATTTTTAGATAATGAGTTGCCTGAGAGTCATTTGCCTGAATTTGGTAATCAACAGTCTGATAAGATAATGGTCCTCGTTGGAGCAGACTTCCTGAATTTCTTGGTGAAGTTTGTCATTACTTCTGTATATGTTAATCCACTAAAATATGAACAGCGATTCCCTCTTCTTGGATCAGCATGTTTCACATGATTTGCATACAAATGATTTTGTTACCATTTTTATAAAAATGGATTAATTTAAACTTTTTTGTGTTGATCCAATGATGAGATGTAAATTGCCTTTAAAAATCTTTTATTGCAATAAAAAATTGATTTTTTTAAAATGTCTGTTAGCGTTTTTGATGAGACTGTCTCATCTCAAAAATCATGCTGCTGTCAACTGCTGCACACCTTAGAGGTACGAAGGAGTTGTCAGGAGTTGCAATTTGGCACAGAGTATTTGGTGCCCAAATCATGCACACATAAAATAAACCAGACTTGTAGGTAGTTGGTACCAAGAACTGGGTCAAAATAAAATACAAAATGCCGAGACTGTTTCTACAAACAGACACGAGTGCAAGATTTGCGCATGTGTTGCTCGTGGTCTCCAAGACAGTCTCGTCCCAAGAATGGCTTCGCTGTTTTACTTGTTTGTTTCTGAAATATCTCTAAGGAATTTTTTTACAAAGGATAAAAATTAAACAGTTGCTTGTACTTGTAATATGAGATTGATGGATTAAATTTATAAAATTATTAGAGTTGTTATATAAGATGTCTGAAGATATTATTAGTCTGAAAAATACAATGGTGCCTTGTATAATGTATGCCTTGAATAATGGACACTGCGAATAACAGACTTTCTGTTTGGCTGTTACGTGACTCAAGCAACGGACTGGCTGCGAACAACGGACTTTTTGTTTGGCAGTTACATGAGGCGAACAATGGTCTTTCTGCGAACAAGTGCGAATGATGCTTCCACACTTTTGCCATTGCCAATGACAATCTGCTATTTTTATAATATATTAGTATTATTAGAATATATTATTAGTATATCTGAAGTACAGAGCTCCCTTTGGGATTCAGATATCTCCCTTGTTTATTACGTACTGTACATCACCTCAGTGAATGGTATTTACATTTATTCAAGTGTTGTGCAAATCATGGCTTCTAAAAAAACAGAAAGGTGATTTCAATTGAAACAAAGAAGAAATCATCAGAAGGAGTGAAAGTTGACAAAAACTTCTTTGTCAAATGGGGAGAGGTTCAGGAGTTTACCAACACTCACTATCCAAACATAGCTGAGGCCAACAGGATCAATGATCTCTACAATGACACCATTGCCCGTCATTTCCAACAGGTGTTAAAGAAGAGAGAGAAACAGACTACCTTGGACATGTTTTTCAAGAAGCAAGCTGCCAAAAAACAAAGAATGGAACAAGAGGAGTTGACCCTGCAAGCTCTGGTAGCCTCTCCTGAATCTGACTCCGATTAAAAAATAATAAAAAGAGACTTGTTGCAATGTGTAAAAAGTCTGTATCTGTATGAATGTGTGAAGTAAGTGTTCTTCCACCTCCTCCTCACAACATCTGACTACCCGGCATAATTGGTGACTGCTCCATTTTCATTTTTTTCATGGTACAGTACGGTTATTTTATGCTGCGGAACGAATTATATATTTTAACATGTATTTCTATGGGAAAATGCGTTTCGTATAATGGACTTTTCACTTAATGGACGTGCACCTGGAACGGATTAAGTAAATTATACAAGGCACCACTGTATTTATTATACAGTATATAAACTTATTGATTTTATAATAAAGCTGTTTGGTGTAGAAATGGAGGCTGCATTTAAATTAAATGCGGCCTCCATTTCTACGATAATTTTAATAGCCAATAATAATACGATAATTTTAATAGCCAATAATAATACAATAATTTTAAAAGCCAATAAATTTAATAGATTTATAACATGAATAATAATAAAGATACTGAAATTTAGGTTAATAAAATGTAAGAGTTATAAATTGGATTATAAATAAATATAAAAGATAAAACACATTTTGTCTTTTCATAAATTTTATTTTTTATGTATTTATTTTTATTAAATACATAGGAAATTTTGTTAGTATTTTTTGGTTTAAAGTATGAATGAATTTTAAATTAAAGTATATCAAAAAGAATAAAGACAAAAAAACTTATTACATTTCAAAGACTCATGGAAAGTCTAGTAATTTTTAATATTTCTAAAATAATTAAAATTTCATTTTCAGAAAGCATATACAATTTGACAGAAAATGAAATAATAGAACATAGTTTAAGTTAATATAATTTGATGAAAGTTTTAAAAATTTGACTTTGTAAAACAACTCTTGATCCCACAGTTAACTCTCCTGTAGCAGTGTGTGACTGCCACTCCTCTCTTTGCCATGATTTCTAGACAGTCTTTAGTGCATTGCATGTCCCAAAAAGTTTTAGTTTGCAAATTACTAGCATGCCTGATTATTACTGGACAATTCCTGATTAACCACTCAACAGTGAGAGACAGATATATCCATCCAGGGCGATCGTGTGGCAGTGGTGAGGGACAGATGTATCCGTTAAATTTTTTTGGCTATCGCCAAAAACTACTGCAAAAAAAAATTCACACGAAAAATGAATTATGTAACAATAAAAAAAGACTTTTCTTTAGTAGACATAACTGTTTACAAAATCTTTTTCCGAAATGCTAATGAGAAAAAACATGTGGAAAAATACTTTAAAAATCTCCCACGTTTATTTTCCACTACTTTGGGGTAGCACCATACCTGATTATCCCACCTCTGAAAGGTTAATGAACATCTTACATATTAATAAAATAATTTATATATAATTGTTGGATTGATGATGTATTGAAAAGAAAGGTAAAAAATATTTTAGATTAGCTGATGATTTTATTTTTTAATATTTGTTTTATATATACATTTTTCTTGTATATAAAAAGCTTTTCTTTAATAAGTAAATAACAATTTTAAATCAGGTTGCTCTAAAAGTAGGAGTTAAGCATAAAGGATGCAATGGACTCAGTTATACATTGGATTATGCTATAGAAAAGGGAAAATTTGATGAAGAAGTTGTACAAGATGGTAAGTTTGTTTTTATTGCTAAAATTACTTTGATGAAAACTTGCAATACTCCTTTAGAGTATGCAATATCATTATTAACACAGTAAACAAACCTATTATTTCATCAATATTAATTTTAGTAATTTATTATATTATATAATTACTGAAATTAATATTGATGAAATAATAGGTTAAAATTTATTTTTGAACACATTCATTTGGATTGAAATGTATTTAGAGAGATGATAGTCATATCAAAATACTTAATCTCTAATCATAATAATCTGACATTGAGCATTCTGACATATTAAAAATACTCCTTTAGAATATTTATTAAAGTTACTTGCATTTCCATATCTTTTTAAGCTTTTGAATGTCTAAATTAGTGATGGGACAATTAATGGGAATCGGGAATTGGAAAAATCGGGCATTTTCCGGAAATTGGAATCAAGTAACTCTCATCATGTTTTCTGACTCCTAAAATGATTCTTTCACATTTTTATAAGAAAACTAGCAGGTGGGCCCGGCGTTGCTCGGGCAAAAGTAACGATAACTAAGATAAAGATTATTACGTTACAGTCAACCTTACCTGTTTTCACAGAATGCAAGAATTGGGTCCCCTTGTTTCCAGACTAATTAGAGAATTTTTAGATGGGTCTAAAAATATGTTCGATTTCCCGCAAAAACGAAAAAAACTGCATCTGCGTCTTGCACATCGCTTTCTCTTAACAATTCCATTGTTACATAACAATTCCATTGTTGACACTTCCATTGTTACTTAACACTTCCATTGTTGATGGAAGTGTTAAGTAACAATGGAAGTTTGAAGTAACAATAAAAGTTTTATTCCATTAACAATTCCATTTACACTTCCATTAACAATTCCATTGTTGATGGAAGTGTTAAGCCTTAATCCTGTCTCTCTCCCCCCCATGGGGAGGAATTTCGAAAAATCCCTTCTTAGTGTGCGTTTTCGTGACGTACCCTATCTGTGTACCAAATTTCAACTTTCAACTCCTAACCGTTTGGGCTCTGTGCTGATTATTATTATTATTATTATTATTATCAACCCGTCTCGATTATATATTAGATTAATTATTTGTTAACACAGTATTAACAATTAGGTATTGGTTTATTGGAACTTTCATGTTTACAAAACAGAGTATGCAACACCATATACAGGAAACTCTTTAAGAAGCATGTTGAATGTTCATAACTTGATCATTCATTTTAATTTAAGTAATAGTAATTACTTGGCATATCACCAAAGCGATCTCAATTTTAGATGTCACCCCATTGATGAGGTGATGTCTGTCATGGCAGACTTTTCTTTTGTGTAGTCAGAGTGATGAAAGACTGCACTTGATCAGTATTAACTGTTCTGATTTTAGGGGAGATAGGGTGGCTTACAGTTGCCATCCAGCCAGCAATCTGTATTCTGTATCTGTTCTGTATATATATATAAAAAGTAAAATGTTTGTCACTACCCCTCCCCCCACACACACATACACTGTAAATTTAAAAATTAATTTGATTTACAATTTCAATATGTCAAAACAACTTTTAAATGGTTTTTAAAAACATTGCTTTTATTTTCAATTGATTTAATTTTAATTAATTTTGCTTTTATTTTTTAGTGTTGGTTTCAGTGTAAAGGCCAGAGTTTTAATTATTATTATTATTTATCTCATTTTAACCTTGAACTGGATTATTGTAAAATATATAAAGAAATAGCTTATTCCAACAACTATTTTTTTTATTTATCTAATGCCTTCGGCTATCTGTGTAGCTGTCCTCGGGATCAAACACTTTTAAATAGAATTATTTAAAGTTTAAATATAATGTTGCAAACAAGAATTATTTAAAATATATAAATTGAAAAAGAAATAAAGCAAAAACATTATAACTTGAAGATACATGTAAAAGTGTACAGCAATGATGAAACTATACAAAATAAATTAAATAAATAAAACAAAATATTTGTTTCAGTCTTTGGTATCATCATTCGCTGTGTTTAGAAGATATTTCCAAGCTTTTGATAAGCAAGTGGCATCCTTATGGTTTATGCACAAATTCTTAATACTGTGCTTGTATATGTATATTTTTTCTAGAGTTGTGCCTGTTTGTTGGTCACCTATAGTTTTTAAAAGTTTAGCTTCATTAAAATTTGGTGTATTGTCTGGAACAGTGGCCATATAGCTAAGGCTGTTGTGGTTTTTACTTTATGTACAGTACGTCATATTGATGCTCCTTAAGTGTCATAGGGAGATTTCTGGAAGTGTATTTTATGTATTTTTTTGTTTTGTTTTCCAGACCTAGAATGACAGGTATCTTGAATACCCCAGGACCATGTCAGGATCAATTGGGTCTTTGTCATTACGTAACCAGCTGTAATTAGTTTTGTTGTGTTTATATACAATACTTTTGTTGCCTGATCTAATGGTTTTTCTATAGGTGTTATCTAATAATTTGTTATATGTCATTTGGGTGGTTGAGAATGGAGGGTGTTTAGGTTTCTTTTGTATTTTTTAAATAGTCAACTATGGTATGGTTGTATCTGTAAGTAATTGCTATGCTTATGATTCTGTTCAACTTTTTAATGGTGTCCCTTATAAACTTAGTATCTTAATATCTTATAATATCTTTCAGAAATAGAAATAGGGTCAATGAGTAAAAAATTTGAAAAAACAAAAATCATTCAAAATATTTGAATCCTGGCTTGGTCTTCATAAGAAGAAATGATGATGAATGAAGTATAAGACTGAATCTCAAATTTTCAACTGGCTCTATTTTTAATATCCTTCGAAATAAAATCTTGATATAAAAATATGGCCATGACAAATTAATCATTACAAAAAATCTTTAAAAAAAGATTCCTCAAAGATAATACATACAAATATGTCATTTGAATAAAACACACCTTTAATAATCTGTGGCATGTTTATTATTAATTATTCATATTATAGTTATCCAGTACATACATTATATATAAGTATTCAAATGTGTCTTTATTCCAATCCGGTCATTTTAAACGCACATTTGAGGAATTAACAATTTTATGGCAGTTGACCTTTTAGGAGGAATCTTTTTAAAGCTTTTTTGTAATGATAAAATCCTGATGTTTAGTATTACACATCAAGATACAGTATACAGGTATACCTCGCCTTACGTCGGTAATTGGTTCCAGGAAAACGACGTAAGTTGAATTTACCTGTCTCCGAATCTACTTATCACTAGGAAAGCATTTTAAATAATATATGGTTAATAAAAATCTATTTTAAGCTTACAAACAAATAAATTTTAGTTTTTAATATAGTACAAAAAAAATAATCTAAATTTACGAATGCGTGTACTGTAAATACAGTACATACTTGTATATATTTTAATATGATTTTATGTGCTTTAAACGTTTATCTAGTGATATTACGACTTCAATATTTGTGGCGGACAGACGTAAAGTCGAATAAAATGACTTAAACTTGATTTTTATTTTTCCATATACTTTTTTAACAAGCGACGTATAATCGGGAACGACGTAACTCGAAACGACGTAAGTCGAGGTATGCCTGTATTTTACAAATTTTGGCTAGATTGTATTATATGTGTGATATACAGTAGTAAGGTTGAATCTATGTTAGTATGTGAAGAGGTCAGATTAAATGAATTTAACTGGTTTTGAAACATCTCTGGTCACTGTCATAGATTCTATGAATGATTCATAGTCTCTATTGGGTAATACACAGCATCTGGGCAAGTTATGGCCATTACAATAACTGTAGATTGTAAAATAACAGCTGATAGAGATTTATACTAGTAATGAATTTTTTCAAATGTTTAAAAATTATATTGACAATAATTTCACATAATTGTCAATGTTAGTTATAAAAATTATTGATAATGAAATTTATACCATGTAATGATGTAAAAAATGGTATTAATATATAATACCATTTTTGTGCTGCTTTATTTTTATNTTAATTTTATATATTTTGTATGTATATTACAGTATATAAAAACGTATTTTCACACACGGAACGGTTTAATTGTTCTAAGTTTTAAAATATTGTTACATTCGAATTTCATCGTATTTATTTTTAATATGTCGAAGAAGGCGTAAGTTAGGAGAAAATGTTACTTCTTTAATAAATATAGAATAGATTTCATTAATAGAATAACATTAATTTATTGTTGTTTGTATTGTTAGATCATTTATAAAAGGAACAGATCCTTAGGTGTTAGATTTTCATTACTGATCAATACACTAAGATTCGATAAAGCGAACATTATTACTCAATGACTAAGAATGAGAAAACTTCCATTACCTTGGCTTGTTTGAAACTATTCATGGGTTCAAACAAGCCAAAATTATTTTTGTAAAATATCTTTGGTTGCCTTAATTCAGCAGTATCACCTCTGAAAAGTTTCGAAGCATGGTTATCCCGGATACGTTGAGTTCCGTCCCTCATCATCTGGCCTCCCTTTTGTGGGCCTGGCAAAATCCACGAAGAGCCTGAAAAAAGGCCCTCTTAGTGCCCACAGGGCGGAAAGAGTAAAAACAAAAAATAATTCCAACATTGTGTTTAAAAAGATGAGTGCCGAGGAATTTGAAGGTAACTTATTAAATAATATCTGTCGCAAACTATGAAAAAGGAAATCAGGAATCTCAAAGCTAGCTGGACTTTTTCAAAAAAATGATGAGAATAAGCATCGTCATAATTTACTATAAATTAAAAATAATAATACTAATCTCTTCAGAAGAAAAGAAAATACCTTGCAAAATATTGAACGTATATAAAAGAAATATTTTAATTAAAATATAAAACAAAATGTTTTGAAAAGAACTGAAAAGAAATAAAAATCAATTCAGAAAGATTTATATTAGTTAAATCAACAACTGGTGAATGAAATTTGAGGAAACATAAACAGTCAGTTCATTTTTCACGGCGTATGATTAAAGTCCGGAGGTGGGCATCTCCCCTCCGGGAGGAGTCCGTCTGGACCACGAANGTTATTAATTGAAATTTACTGAATTATTAATGAAATTTTAGTTGGCAGAATAGTTTCAAAAATTCAATTAAAAAAACGAAAATAATAATATATTGATAAT